GACATCGAGGCCGCGACCTATTTCGATGTCCTAACCAATCAGATACTGAGGGAACGGAAACACAATAATAAGTATACAAACAGTCGGCGAACGGATTTCGTGCAACTGATGATCGACTCCGAGAAGTCTAATCGGGATTTGGGTTACGACTCGAGTAGTGATGTCGACCCCACTCCCGAAGAGGAGTCCCAAACCGCGGGTCAACCCAAGGGTTCCCTAACTCCAGATGAACTCACGGCGCAGGGAATGCTGTTATATATCGCCGGTTACGACACTACCAGTGCTACCATAGCTCACGCGATATATTACTTGTCGCAACACGTGGACTGTCAGACCCGGCTGTTTGAGGAGCTGAAAACTTGTAATGGATTTACGTACGATAACCTTGTTCACTTGAAATACTTAAATGCTGTGATTAATGAGACACTACGACTCGCACCACCCCTTACCCGTGGAAACAGGGAGTGCCGACAGGACTACAAATTGGGAAATACAGGTAAATGTTTTAATAATTTTAGAAATCATTTATACAATAATTCTTAATTATTTTTATTACCCAGGTATTACAATACCAAAGGGCACTACAGTCGAGATATTTATCTACGCCCTACACCGGGACCCGGACTTCTGGCCCAACCCTCACGACTTCATACCCGACCGTTTCGTTGAGCCCACACACCATCCCTACGCATACCTGCCCTTTGGTGCCGGTCCTCGGGTTTGTATCGGTCAGAGGTTTGCCATGAATGAGATGCGAATGTGCCTGGCTAAGTTATTGCACAAATATGAGTTCACCCTGGCACAACCACCTGTGTTGGATTATTTTAGGGGCAGTCCGCTAATGTCACCTAAGAATCTGATTGTAACTATAAAAGCTCGATAAATTAACAAGCACAAACTACATTTTTAATTTTTTTTAATTGACATGCTTGTATTTTAACTATTATTTTCTAGACAAATAAATAAGAGAATTTGATTTCTATAATTAATATTTTTATTGACATTAATAATGTCACATTAGGATGTTAATATAAATTCATGTTAAAATAACTATAGAAAATACTATTATTAAATTATCTTTATAATTATTTTTGTCAAAACTGTAATGCAAAATAATATATTTATATATACAATATACCCGTCCTTTAAGGGATTGCCGTATTATAAGGACATCAATGATATCTCATATAAAGAGGCCGACGATATACTAGACCAGAGCCATAGAAAATGTCATTCTTTTGGAAAAGTTTGGTGTATTTTTCTTTAAAATAATTGTTCTTGTTTAAAATAATTGTTCTTGTTTAAAATAATAGACTCCCTATTAATACCTTAATTGTAAATATATAATCCTTGGTCTCAAAATAATTACTCCTTATTTACAAACATACCTGTGCCCAGATTTATCCATAATACTGTACATTCATTGAATATGTATACAATACATATTACTTATATAATATACAGTATATAAGTGTGTGCGTGTTTATGTCGGATATACAGTTATTACATGAATAGTTGATAGAAATTAATTTTTATTGCACTTTAGTGAATAAAATATGTGCACCCTTTTTATTTAAATAAATTTTATACATCTAATGTTTATGCAAAAATGTATTTCACTAAAAAGTGACAAACTAAACACAAAACGGGAAGTTATGTTCATTTTATGTAATAATTAATTATTCAAATAATAGACATTCAAATACATTAAAGTAATTATGTATGTTAAAAATATTTTAGTGGTAAATAAAAAATTTAAAAGTAGTTATACACAATTAAATTAATATAATCTAGTATTGCATTTGTTTATTATGTTTTTTCGATGAGGTTAATGTCTAGATATAAATTGTAAAAATTGTCACATTTTAATTTAGAAATTTATTTTAATAAAATTATTTATAAAAATCCAGCTATACAAGCTGTAATTAAACGTATAAATATTGCTAAAATCTATATGATTTATATTTCATACTACAAATTGGGAACCATTAGTATTATGTATAAACTTTTTAAAAATATTTATCAATCATTATTATTATTCATTTCATTTTTAACATTTATTAAAATCTAATAAATATTTAATATTATA